TGGTTGGTTGGTTGGTTGGTTGGTTGGTTGGTTGGTTGGTTGGTTGGTTTCTTGTAGTGCTTCATTTAAGCTTGGCAATGTTCTCCACCACTATATCCCTAGCCTTCTTCCAGGATTTTTTTTTTCTAGGCAAGGTTTTGCTATATATAACCCTGGCTAGCCTGATACAGCAATCCTCCTGCCTCAGCCTCTCCAGTGCCATCATCAGAGACATACACTCACATACTTTTTATTATAAGACAGACTCTTATTAAGTTTTCTAAGTCAGCCTTGAACTCACTGGATAGCCTAGAGAGGCCTTCAACTTTCAATTCTCCTGCCTCAGCCTGGAATTCCCTTCTCATTTGGATACAATGCCACAATTCTTACAACTGTAGAGACTCTACATGGTCTGGGTGCGCCCACCCCAAAGTCTACATCTTCATGTCAATGTATTCTTTCCATTCCTCTTTCAGCTAAGTGCCCCCACGGGGTCTCCTGAAATGTATGGACCACATGTGAACCTCAAGGCCTTTGCACAGGCTCTTCCCTTCTTCTAAGACACGGTTTCCCAAAGCCTAACCTTCTTCTAGCTTCAGTCCTCTGCTCCAAAATCACCTGTTTGTAAACACAGGTCTTTTGTCATCTCATCCCCCTTTCCCTGAGGTACAATTGTATTGTCTGCCCATCCCTTCTCACGGAGGCAAGTTCTTGCCTTGTCCCTCCCAGCATGCCTTTACCTAGGATGAAAACAAAAGCAATGAGAAATACTTGCTTGATCAATACAGGAATAACTGAGCAGCTAGTGACAGCTCAGGTTTTCAATTTATTTTTATTTTATTATATATGTTTATATATAAATATATAGTGTGCCTGAATGTCAGTATGGGGGGGGGTATGGTGTGTATATGTATATTGTGGTGTATGTGCGTGGGGGGGGGTGTATGTCTGTGGGTATGTGTGTGCGAGTGTGTGTGTGCTTGAAAGAGCTGAGTAGAGGTTAAATCTCTTCTCTCCTATGTTGAGGAGAATGGATTCTCTCCTTCTACCATGTGGGGCTTGGGAACTCACATAGTCTGGCTTGGTAGCAAATGCCATCTTGCCAGCCCTCTGCTCCTGCAGCCCTGGGTAGCACTGAATTCTCCATACAACCAAGGATGATCTTGAATTTCTGATCCTCCTGTCTCTGCCTCCCAAATGCTGGGATTACAGGCTGTACCACCATGCCGGGTTCTGTGCAGTGTTGGGAAAGTTTGGTGCTTGCTAGGCAAGCCTGCTACCAACTGAGACACAGCTATGGCCCCACCATGATTTTTGTTTCATTCTTTTTCTTTTCTTTTTTGATAGCAAATCTCATGTGACCTGGGATGACCTTGAACTTCTGACCTTCCTCATTCACAGCCCAGCCTCCAGTTCTATCATTTTGGGCCACATTACAAAGACTGCACAGCGGACATTGGCAGGGATCCTGGTGAGCGGGTTGATGCATTCATGGCAAAGGTGCTTTTGCTTCGTGGTCAGCTGACGAAGCCCAGGTGTAAGAGGTGAACTCTGGAAAGAGGGTCGTGAGGGGCATAAGGTTATCTTTAAGGCCACATATTTCAAGGAGAGGGAAGTCTGCTCAGCACGCACCATACTTACACAGACACAGAAGCCCAAGAACGCAGCCGAGCCCAGACACTGGAGACCACAGCTATGGAGTGTCCTTGGTGATCCCAAAATTGAGAATCCCTGGCATCTGGGGCTTGTTTTAACTTTTGTTTTGGTTTGATTTTGAGATAGGGTTTCTCTACCTAGCCCAGACTTACTTCAAACTGAGAATCCTCCTGCCTCAGACTCTCCAGTGATGGAATTGCAGGCATGTGCCACCACACCCACCTGTACCTCAGGCTACCTGAGTCTTCACGAAGGTCCTGAAGGTGACAAGGGACACATTCGCATCCTGCTTGAAGACTCAATTCTCTTCCCTGTGGCAAGCTGAGGGAATCCTGGAATTTCCTGTTTAAAAAAAAAAAAAAAAAAAAAAAAAAAAAAAACAGTGCTGGGAGAGTTCAGTGGGATAACAGAAGCAAGCCAGGCTTGCAGCGCAGGCGCCTTCACACACTGAGCCCTCCTCAGCCCTCCTCAGCCCTCCTCAGCCCTCCTCAGCCCTCCTCAGCCCTCCTCAGCCCTCCTCAGCCCTCCTCAGCCCTCCTGTTGTTCGTATTTGACCCAGAGGCTCACTGTATTTGCCCAGGCTGGACTCAAATTCACAGGCCCAACTCATATTCTCCCTCGGCCTCCCTAGTGTTTGTACAGGTGTGTGCCACCATGCGTGGCTCAGGAAACTGGACTTGAAGAAGTCAAAAGTGCTTTGGTTGATAGCACAGTGCATTAAGCATGTACTACATGCATGCTAAGCATGGTCAGTGGAGTGCGGAGGGGAACCACACAACAGTCTACCCCAGTAGAGCCTCGCCCAGTGTTGTGTGACCCTCACCAAGCTACTTAAACACTCTGAGTTTCACTGGCCCTAACCAAAGAGTACAGATAATTGGATCTTTTGGAATGGCCATTATTATAAGAAACACAGAGAAGATGAGAGAAACGCCCACCACAGTGGTGAGGACAGTCTCCCAGGGAGGAGAGGCAGGTCTGTGCCTACTTCCTTTCCATGGAGGTTCTTGAATAAATCTAGGCCAACTGGGTTAAGTGTTCCGAGCATGGGAAGGACCGCACCGCTTGAAGGAAGTGTCTCCCTGCCCCGGCCAGCGGAGCTTGTTATTAGCGGGGATAGAAGAGAATCCGAACCTGTGAAAAGATGGGCGAGAAAGAGAAACCAGTCCAAGCAAACAGGTGCTTGTCAAGGACTAACTTTACTGAGCAGAATCAGCTTTTATAAAGGGTTCAGGATAAGGAAGTAGGGTGGGTTAAATTACAGATTCTTCTTGGCCAGGGGCCTGAAACATCTTGTGATAAGCCATGGTTCTGTGAGCATATCTCTGCTGTTGCCAAGCAGTATGTTTACTGCAGGTAAGGGAACGGGCAAGTTGAGGCAAGTTGGTGAGCTTCCACAGGTGGTCTCTGAAGTTGGTGAGTTCTCTCAGGTGGTCCCTGACATCTCCCACTCCACGTTATAACAGAAAATCTAGAGTAAAGAGAGTAAGTAATTTAACCAAGATAACATAACTTTGCTTTTTTTTTTTTTTTTTTTTTTTTTTGTCCTTGCTGTTTTTGGTTTGGGTTTTGTTGTTTTTCTGAGAAAGAATCTCACTCTGTAGCTCTGGCTTTTCTAGAACTCACTCTATAGACCAAACTGGCCTCAGTCTCATAGAGATCTGCCGTTCTCTGCCCCTGCTGTCCTAGTCCTAGGATTAAAGGCCTGTGCCACAATAGCCAGTTTCTGTAGTGATGGAATCACACCCAGGGCTTTGCATATGCTAGGCAAGCACCCTACCAACTGAGACAGGTCTCCAGACCTTACATTTTGAATGGGTTTGTTTGTTTGTTTGTTTGTTTGTTTGTTGAGACAGGGTTTCTCTTGTAGACCTGGCTGGCCTTGAACTCACAGAGATCTGCCTGCCTCTGCCTCCCAAGTGCTGAGATTACAGGCATGCACCACCATATCCAACTGCACATTTTGAATTTTCTTTAAAAATTATTACTTTGTTTCTTTGTTGTGGAGGTGGGCATGCCAGTAGCATACATGTGGAAGTCTGAGGGATCAAACTCAGGTCATCTAGCTTGGCACAAGTGCCGTTCCACTCTGTGCCATCTTGCTGGCTCTAGCATCTTGAATGTAAAAACCCTGAGTTTGGCATTTGCCTTTAGTTGAAGTAGACAGATGCTCATTTTATGAGCGTGCTCCTTCAGGGTTCTACAAGTAAAGCTATTTGAAGATCAGGAATGGTGGCACATGCCTGTAATCTCAGCACTTGGAAGACAAAAGCAGGAAGGTGGTGTATTTGGGTCCAGCCTGAGCTACAGACAGAGACCCTGGAGAGGTGAGGGAGGCCTGTTTGCACAGTCCTATACTACCAGCTACATGGGAGGATAAAACAGGAGGATCACAAGTTCAAGGCCAGACTGGACATTTAGCAAGACCCTATCTCAAACTAAAAGTAAAGGGGGCATGGTGACTCACACCAGCAATGCCAGCACTTGAGATGCACAAGTAGACAGATCTCTATGAGTTCCAGGCCAGCCTGGTCTACACAGCAAGTTCCAGGACACCCTGCTCTATAGAGCAACATAGTGAGGCCCTGCAGCAAAAACTAATTGATTAATTATTAAAGGTGAGGGTGTGGCTCAGCAAGGTAAACTTGCCCATGCTGTTAGCAGCCCTGGGTTCAGGGTTCAGCTCACAGCACTGATAAACATCAAAAGACTCAGTATCCAAAGACGCATAAGTTAGTTCCATCAGATCTGCTTTTCTTCACTTCCTGACAGGTTCAAAATGGAAGAGTGCCCAGCCAGAGCGCCTCAGGATGGATGCCACCCTGGAAAAGTAGAGGGCACCGGTTTCAAATTCGAGCATTCTAGTCATTTATCGCTGCTCCTCAGCTAGGCAGAAATACCTCTCTGTCCTTCTGGCTGAAGGAGGCAGTACAAAGGATGAGGTTGTCTCAGAGTGCTTTTCCCTCGCCCAGTTTTGTGCTTATCCACCCACAAAAGTATTTTAAGCAGTGTTTCTATTATGCTATTCTGAGCCCATTACTCCACAGGGTGATTAAAATTTCTCTTGGCCAGAGACAAGAAGACAATATGTTTGCTGCGTCCAGGACTGTTGCTTTTCCCAAGCAGCCTTCAAAGGGGAAAAAAAACATAAACACTAAGCATGCAAAATACACGCTTGCTGCACAGCAGGAGTCTGCATAGCATCATGCCCTTCACCTTGGCCTGGACTCCCAGCAGCTGGGACAGGATGAGGGAGGCAGGATAATGGAGGCTCCCCACTTCCCTGACTTGCGTGTGCTTTAATCATCTCCATTCCCACCCATCCGGGGACAAGATGGCCATGTAATTTCTGCTGGTTTGACTTTTTGTGTGTGTGGAGGGATGGGATGGAGGCTGTCTTACTTTGTAGACCAGGCTGGCCTCGAACTCATAGTGACCCACCTGCATCTTGGCCTCTCCCTTTTGGCCTTTTCTGGCTGGGATTAAAGCCTGGAGGACGGATGAGCTTCTTCAGATATTTGAGTCTGGAAGACAGCCAAACTGGGGAAAACTTGTCTAACTGAGGGGTGGAAGTGGGGGGCTGGGAAAAAGGAACAGGGAACATTCCAAGAAGGAAAACAGAAAGGGCAAGGCCATCTTTGGAAGTAAACAGGGCCAGCTCAGAGAGGTCAGGAACCCGGGGGACAACCACACAGCAGACATCAGATGCAAATGAGAAGGGAAGCCTGTTGTAAGTGCACACCTGTAATCCCACACCAGGGATACTGAGACATCCAGGCCAGCTGGGGCTACATAGCAAGACTGTGTCAGGGAAAGGGTGGGAGGACAAAAAAACAAAAAAACAACCCTTAGGTAACCAACCAACCAGATAAATGAAATCATTAAATGAGTGTGGACAGAGGGAATGGAATGGAAAAGTCCAGCTTTGATTTCTTATCTTTACAGCTTATGGCCCGAGGGCAAGAGCTTTAACCTCAGAGAAGTTCTGTATCCTTATCTGCCAAATGGGAGCTTTAGAGCCACCTCCTGGGGCCTGGGGGGAGGATAGTATTGGAACTTGGCTAAGTACCAGCTTCCTTCTTCCTTCCTGATTCTCGTCTCTTTGATGACTTCTCTTTCACTTTCCTGGTTCACTTAACACCTCTCTCTCTCTTTCTTTCTCTCTCTCTATGTCTCTCTCTTCTCTTTTTCAGAGAAGAAACTGAAGCCCCCCCCCCCCCCCGCCACCACGCCACCCCCAGGCAAGACCGGGGCCACAAGCCCCCATTCTCTCTCTCAGGAGACAAGGCAGCCGAGCAGACACCCAGTGCCCCCAGCTACTCCCTTGCTGTTTTGATGAACACCTCGATGTCTTTCCGTATCTCCCCCGCGGCTACTTCTAGGCCTGGAGATTTCTCTGATCCTTCCCCCACCTCTCAAGCTGGCTGGAGTGTTTTGAAGCCAGCAGCTGATCATTCCCCACCAAGATCCAGGGGACATTAGCATCACTCTGGCCTACCTCCCAGACACACAGCAGATGAGATTAAAGAAAGGGGGCGTGTGATGCTCACAAGCCAAAGATTCCTGTGTCCCGCCCTGGGCCCTGGAGGAAAGCGGTATTGTTCTAGAGATAAAGTTACTAGTTGTGTAAATGCATCTTGAGGAACTTTCTCCTTGGAATCAAGGGCTTCTTGGAGATAACACCTGCAAGTCCAGACACATCCCAAGTGCTTAAGGAGCCTGGAAGCCCTTTCTGCAGGCAAATGGGCACTGAGGAAACTCCCCTAGGGGGCTTCGGATCTGCCACAGGCTGGCGCCATGGTGCTTCCTTTAGGCAGCACTCATCTTGAAAGAGAGGGATTCGCACCCCATTTTCACAGGGGCTAACTAAAGAATTCCGTAAGCTGCAGTGTCTCAGGTACAGAAGCGCTTTTGAACAGTCACCTGTAATATTTTGGTAGTCATCAGTGCCGGGTCATCTGGTCCCTTGCCCTTGCTGCTGCCAAAGTGAGACCAAGGAGGACCAAAGGTCACCACAGTGGTGGCGGCGCACACCTTTGATCCCAGCGCTCGGGAAGCAGAGGCAGGTGGGTCTCTGTTTGAGGCTAGCCTGGTCTACAGAATGAGTTCAAAAGTCTAGGCCATTGGGGGTGGGGAGGGCTCACAGTGGGGTTTGCCTCTCCAAATGCTAGATTTTGATTTTTAGAGACTTCTGGGGTCTCCACAGTAGATGGGTATCTTCATCCCTTCCACCCCTGACACCCTCCCTAGCTCTACACAACATGATCAAAACTGTAGCCCCCTGGGCTGGAGAGATGGCTCACAGATTAAGAGCACTGGCTGTTCTTCCAAAGGTCCTGAGTTCAATTCCCAGCAACCACATGGTGACTCGTAACCATCTGTAATGAGATCTGGTGCCCCCTTCTGGCATGCAAGTCCACATGCAGGCAGAATACTAGAAAATAATAAATAAATAGAAAGAAGAAAGAAAGAAAGAGAGAGAGAGAGAGAGAAAGAAAGAAAGAAAGAAAGAAAGAAAGAAAGAAAGAAAGAAAGAAAGAAAGAAAGAAGAAACTGTAGCCCCCTAAACCAAGCTCAGGGGAGCAAGCATGCATGTAAGCCCAACACTCCATAAGAGGCAGTAAAAGGCTCAGGAGTCCAAGGTCACCCTTTACTACACAGTGAGTTCAAGGCCAGCCTGGGCTATGTAAAACCTGTCTCCAAGTAAGGTTCCCTGTCCTGTCCCAAATTCTTCACATCCCTTCCCAGCCTGCCATCTGCCTTTTCTGAATTCATTCTTCAGCAAGAGTCTTTGGTAGAGATATGGACATAGTCTGTTACCTTCCCAACCCTCCCAATCCTGTAGCTCAGCCCAGGCTTGCATGGTCCTCTCCACTTCCTCCTTCAGGCCTCAGTTTCCCTACTCGTGGAATGGGAGCCTGGACTAGAGAAGCTAGAGGGGCCTCTTTCAATCCTGGCCACTATAAACACCACTACAAAATCCCCTCCCGCTACCAAGGCCTGCCAGGTCCCATTCTCCATCCTTCTTAAGAGTCCACACCTTCCCATGACAACTTCAGGCTTTCTCCTGACCCTAAACAGAGAGGACTAGGGGTGGGTCCATCACCACTGAGCTGCTCTGGGCTCCACTCTGGGGGTCTAATATAGCCTTTCCCTGCCTGGAAAAGAAGGACTTCCCTTGCCAGCTAGAGGGTAAAGCCCTGGGCTGGTGGTGAAGGAAGCAAAGGCCATATCCTCTAGCAGTGTACTTGAGTCAAGCTTTGAAAAAGGACAGACTAGTTGCTTTTTTATATTTATTGTGGGGGGGGGAGGGGCACACTCACATTCTTGAGAATATATGGGTGTGTGCAGGTCACCCTGTGGAGGTCAAGAGGGCAACCTGAGGGAGTCAGCCCTCTCCTTCCACCTTGATGGTACAGAAAGGCCCAAATTCAAGTCACGGGGCTTGGCATCAGGGCACCTATACTCACT